ACAGCACACAGTATACGAAGGGGAACTAGTTGGCATCATCCTTGGACTCTACCTCATCAAAAATATAAGAAGCAGCAGACCCGAAGCAACCGTCAACCTTGATAACCAAGCAGCAATCATATCAACACTCACCAACAAGCCCCAACCAGGGGCTTACCTGCTCGACGAGATCAACCACCTTGCTACTCGGATTCAAGAGTATGGCCGCCATTCGATGACACTCAAACTTGCTTGGGTACCAGGGCACTCAGACATACCGGGAAATGATGAAGCCGACTAGTTCCCCTTCGTATACTGTGTGCTGTTTGTCTGACCCAAGGTGGTATTGGAGATGTCGATGTTTTTGGCCATTTCGGTACAACACTGCCGCTGCTCCGATGCTGCCTTCAAAACCAGATCCGTCCGTGTATACCATTATGTCGTTCGTGCGGTGTGATTCTTCCCGGCCTTTTGCTTCGTCTTTGTTGGCTGCGATATGTGTATAGAAGCGTTTCTGAGAGTTAGGCGACCGGCGATGGGGGTGGATTTTCTCGATGTTGGCTGGGTTAATGCCGGTGCGGTGGAAGAGGTGGTGCATGGGGGTTTTGTGGCTACCGACAAAGTGCCTGGCCGACTTCTTGACGTATGGATGGAGAGGATGGGTAGGTGGGAGGGTTGCTAGTCTGGCTGCAGCCTGGTAGCAGACGTGCGTGAGCAGGATGTCGATTGGATAGAGGTCTGCGTGGGCTTCTAAAGCATCGCCAGCAGTTGTTCTCATTGCTCCGGTGATCGTTATTGCTGCCTGTCGTTGGATAGATGACAACTTTCTTGATAGACCTATATTGCCTAAACCTTTTTGAGCATCTGTGAGCCTATATGGGGGTACGAACCAAGTTTCTGCTGCGTATGTGATTCTGGGTATTGCTACACCTAGGTATAGTCTGCGGGATAGCTCAAGGGAGATACCGGTAGTGACTCGGTTGAGCCTTTTGAAGAGGGCTGTCCATTTGATCGCTCGTGCTTGCACCAGGTCGTGATGTTTAGCCCACGTTAATTTACTGTCAATTAGTATACCCAATAGCTTATATGATTTGACTACCTTCACAGTTGCTGACATCCTGGTTTGGTCTCGACCACAGTAAGTGAGCAGTAGATCTGACGAGTCTCGTTCTTTGCTATCGGATCTTGTAAAATCTATCACCGCTACTTTGGACAGTTCAAATGGCGAATTGTGTCCTTTGGACCAGGCTAAGGCACCTTTTGCTCTTTCCATCATGGACTTGAGAGTAGCGTGGGTCTCTATAAAGGTGCGGCCAATAGCCAGAAGGGTGGTGTCATCAACGAAGCCTATTGTGAGTTCGTTCTTGCCGTTGGCAATTTCGAGTAGTGGGGCAATGTAGAAGGCATATAGGAGCATGGAAAGGGGGCACCCTTGGCTGTTTCCGTTGTTGATGGGGATGTCCTCAGAGGTAAAGTCGTCAAATCTAAGTTTAGTATATCTGTTAGTAAGCATATGGTCAATAAATGCGACATATTCCTTTGGAATGCCTTTTGTTCTCATGTTCCTTAGGAGCACTTGTCTGACAACATTAGGAAAGGCTGCCTGGATATCCAGGAAGAGTGCGCTGGCTACTTGGTGCTTGCGCCAGGCATCTTTAACCTTATGGGTCAGGAGGTGTATCGCGTCAGCAGTTGTGCGCCTAGGGCGCCCGCCAAATTGGGTGTTTGGTAGGAGCTGGTGAGCTTCGCAAATATAGGTGATGTCTTCTGCGACTAATGCGGAGAGAAGCTTGGGCATGGTGTTGAGGAGGGCGATTGGGCGGTAGGCATTTGGGACATCATATGCTGGTTTGCCCGGTTTTCTGAGTACTACAGTTGTTGAGAGCTTCCACTCTGGGGGGTAGTAATGTAGCTGGAAGATGCCATTGAAAATACTTAGTAGTGGGGTTGCGAGCACTTCTGCACATTCTTTGAGGACGACGTTGGGTATGCCATCAGGTCCTGGGGCCTTGTATGGTTTGAGTGTCTTGATAGCTGAGATTAACCTTGCTCGTGAGTATGGTTTAAACTTTCCGACTGGGTTGGGGAAGGGTATGTTTGGGAGCTGGATAGTGGACGGGGGAGGGGGGAAGAAGGTGTTACTTAGCAGTTTGGCTTTATCACTATTGTTGCTAGTGGGTGTACCGTCTGGGGTCTTTAGGGTCGGTATCCTCTCGCGGCATAGGTCGCTTGCTGGTTTGGCTAGGTACTTGTTGACGTTCCAGATATCATGGTCATTGAGGCCTTCAAGCCATGATATCCAGTGCTCCTCCTTCGTTTTCCTAATCTGTGTGACATACTTGGTGCTAAGGGAGTGGTAAGCTTCGTGTGAAGGGTGCTCTGGGATATATCTCCATTTATGCGCCTCTGCGCTTGCACGGTTCTTGGCCTTCTTTAGCTCCGTTAGTTCTCTTGTCCACCAACGTTTTGCGTAGGCACATGGGGCAGCTAAGGGGACACATATATCAATTGTGCTGGTGATGGCATTGGTGAGCGCGATGACTCCGGCTGAAAGCTCTTCTCTGCTAGTGTAGCGTTCTCTAAATTCTGGGCTATTGGCGAGGTAGGATGTCAGTATCTCATTGAATTCGGTCCAGTCGACTTCTCTGAATTTTCTGTATGGCTCCGTGTCGTTTCGTGGGAGTGGGAAGTCGAGTATGCTAAGGATTGCAAAATGGTCAGTAATTGGTGTTTTTGCAGACCTTTCTACATAGCATTTGATGAATGGGTTGGGATCGTTGCTTGTGCGCCATACATTGTCTGGTCTAGTTGGGCGTCCTCCATTGCGTGCTAGCAGGGTGGGTTCATATTTCGGCAGCGCCATTTCCATTCCATGTTCGAGGATGAGGTTGAGAAGTGGATCGACTGCTTCACTGCTGCTACGTAGGTGCCTGTTCTCTGGTGGTTCCCACATTGGGTGGTGCCTGTTGAAGTCACCGAACCAAAGCATATGATCATTAGTAGTAGGGTAAAATTTATCAGCTGTAATATGTTCGCTCAGCAGCTCTAGGGTGCTGTTGTGAGTACAGTCGTTATAGATATTGAAAATAGTAAAGGAGCCTATGTTACTGGTGATCCGGATGCCTGTGACATCATTAGAGGGGAAGGCAATTTGTTCCCAAGAGTTAGATGGGAGCCTATAGCTCACAAAGATAA